ACTGATCACATATGGTTGGTCCCTCAGTGGGTGTGAAGCCACCAGACCTGACCCAAAGCACGAAAAAGACAGTGGGATCAACAGAGGGAGTATGTCATAGAGGTGTCCTTCTGCCCCACCAGTCAACAAGCTGGTTCTTCAAATCACTTTGACTATTTACACCCGTAGACACCAGGAAGGTGCGCTGCATAGCCACGTGGCAAAACCAGCAGGCTGCAAAGTGGGAGTTTTCAGATTATGATGAGCTGGACTCCGTGCACATCAGCCACACCCCATGACCTAGGCAAGAAAACCAAATGGCCGGCCAGTGCCAACTGGAAGTATTTTCCTTTACTACTTATGGAGGTGTGCAGGTGTGATCATTACATGACTGCAACTACTTTGTGGCAACCACAGTGACAAAAACAAAGGGATATCGCCATAATTTATAATGTCTAATACAGGCATTTATGATATCGAATCACAGGATCTGATTTCTTATTATCTGTCATCATTGCAAGCCGCTCCAATGAGACTGTGCAATGTTGCAAAGTCATCTCCCCAACTAATTTACCAGTAATGTTTGCTCATTTTGCACATCAGTGCTCAAACTGGAATGTGATAGAGACTCTTTCACATCATTTTGTGCCTTCCAACTTCGTAGCACAAAGCTGCTTGACCACAGACAGATCTGAAGAGGTGTCATAAAGAAGGTAAGATGAGGTTTCAAGACTCTACACTGCGGAATGGAAGACTCCTATAACCATGCCAGTCCAAATTCCAAGATGATACAGTCACATGTGTATTAAATGCTCCTCCTAGAGAACATTCAGGCAGCATTATCCATGTTTCAACTTAAGTTGATAAAAACAACTGAGCAGAAAGTGTTCTGGATAAAATGTTCTTCATTGGCACCTACCTGAAGTGCTCACTTGAGGAAAGATGTGAGCCTAGCTCTGTGGGTAAAACCTCGTCTGTGGCAGAGTTTTATGCCAGAGAATGTATTCAAGATAAAAATGGGAAATAGCACAAGAATTTTTGACAGTTATAACAAAGTGCACATTCTTACAACAAATATAGAAGAAATATTTTTTGCCAGCAATTATTTCAGCCAACAGGAAAAAATGAAGGAATAACAGCACGTTTTAGTAAAAATACCTGACAGGAGGAAACATGAAATCTAGTCTAATCTAGCCTAATTTATTAAAATTTGGGATTAATTTCAAGTGTATGGACATATATATACGTCCCTCTGACAGAGCTAGTCAATACTATTTATCTTTTTTTCCTGTACCTCTGAATGAGAATTGCCTGCAATTGTTTGCAGACAAGGAGAGGCTGACTGTTTACCTTACTGGTTCAGATGAGAATTTGGCTTCCTCTTGAAAATGAAAGGGGGAAATCTAATGCTTTTGGCAAGTTACTGTTATAAATCAAAAATTATTTTCCAAGTAGTGATTTTCAGGGTTCTTTTCATTGGAAACCTTAGGTTTCTCAAGAAGCAATTGTTATACAAGCAATGATGTCTTGAACAAAGACATTTTAAGAGTGCTGTGTAAGTTCTCCAACTATTATTCATTCTATTAAAAAGAATTTGAAATTTATAGAAGCTCCATCTCCCCTGGCTGGCACAGTTTTCTTATTACAAATTAACTCCCTGCCAAAAATGGTTTGTTTTTATCTGATGATCCAAAGCAGTTCCTTTGATAGAACAGTAAAAGAATTTAATCATTTATTTATTAAAGTAACCCACAATTTGGAAGAGGAAAAAGGCAACTGGTTTCTTGCAAGACTTCAGAGATGAAGTACATTGTTATAATAACCAGATACTGGGAGTTTGCTCAGGTTGATACTATTTATACATTAAGATCTTATTAAACCTTTTAATTTTAAAGAAAAACTGTTGGCTGATTTCCCAAAAGTATGTAAGGCTCCTATGGACAAACCAGGTAGTGGGAATCCTTCCAAGTTTTTTCCTTACAGCAGTATCATTTTGGGAATGCAAACTTAGCTGTGGGAAAATATAACCCAAAGTTACGGTCGGTGTCCAGTAACATATAACCATAAATATGATATTAGATATAAGCTGAAAGGTGTGCATTACCTCCCTGATTTTATTTATTTATGCATGTGGTGTTATGTTTGTGTTCTGTCGAGTTGAGTTTGGTAGTGATGCAATGTGGACTCTCTCCAAAGTTTAAATACCTCCCTAACTCCAATAAACAGTCTGATATTTTCCTGAAGTCAGGTATCCCCCACAAAACAGCTATTGAATATGACCTGTGGCCAATTAACATGTCGCTCTGAAACACAGCTTCACAGTAAGAATCCAGTGAGCTCAGCTTTTATGGAGCTGAAGCCATCCTGCAGACGACACTGAGTTTCGGCCAACATAAAAAGGGGACAGTGAAGACTAAGGGTGGTAGTATTTCACATTACTGCCATCTCCTATAACGTAGGAATCAAAGACCATAAACAAAGCTTTGTAAGTGGACTGCAAATTCCCAGAGTAACCAACAAGGATGCTGTGATCCAAACTAGTCTCTTGCACAGGCATCCATTAGTTATGAGAAATGTAAGATAGATGACATAAGTAAACCAAGGTTTCGGTCCTAACTCTACTCTGTTTTTCAGATTAAGCTCTTCCTTCCTATTTGCACGGTCTATAATCTTTCCTTGTACAACGTGTATTAATGTTTTTTGCATCTTGTGTATTTTCTCAGTCTACTAAACTGTTTTTCAAGCGTGATGCAAACTTCCAAAGTAATTAGAAGTTTCAGTCTGCATAGAGAGACATAAACAAAAGGAACACCAACACAAATTTTGAAAGAGAAGGCAAGATATTTATATGTCCTGGTAATACCAAAAGGACATATAAGGTTCATGGGATCATTACACTGGGCATTAGGCAACTAAAAATGAGATGTTACCCAAAAAGTTTGCAATCTCAGACATCTGAGGGTTGGAATGAACCAATAAGCCAATCCCTGTTTCTTTTCAGTCTTAAAACTATTTGGCAGTGGTCTACTTCTTGCTCTATTTCAAGAGATTAGAATCACAAAGAAATGGAGCAGATACTTAAACTATTTCCCTTTTTACGTCATTTTCAGTTCCTAACCTCCTTCTGCATCTGTCTTCACTGCATAATATCATAATCCTCATTCTCCTACGTATGTCCCCCTTTCTGGCACATGTAGTCCCTCTCATCCAGGCTCCATCCCATAGTATCTTTTTAATTCTTACCTCAGTAGTTAAGCTAACAAGAATTTCATTGCACTTCATGGAATCATCTGTTTCACAAGCAGGGTCCTATCTTCAGCTATAGATATTTTAACAATGACCAGTTAAGTGCCCACTACACAGAAGTTCCCACAACATGGGTGACAGCCATTCTAAGCACCCACAAGCAAGTTTTTGTGTCTGGGAAATACTCCTGTTTGAAAACCCTAGGGTGACAGTAAAAAAATGTCACTATCTAAAATGAAATCGCTCCTATTATGATAAATTTAAGTTCTGTGCACATTTGTTGTTAAAACAAAGGGTTGAATCATTTAGCCCAGCCTCAAAAGATTTCCTGCAATATCAGCACACCATTGCTCTATGGAAAGTTTACAGAGCGGTTATTTTCTTGGCCTTTTTCTAATACATTACAAAACAAAAATACTCCACAAAACACCCTCCTCCAGCATGTTCTCCACAAAGCCAATTCACCTGAAGTGTTCAAATTGCTGTCAATAGAAAGCAATAACAATGCACTTGCAAAACTCCAAGGAACTATAACCAGGTAAGAGCTTCTTTTAGTGGGTACACACAGCTAAGGAACTGTAGTAGCAGCCTGTAATAATTGTCACTTCTGATCACCATGGGAACCAAACAGAGGACTACTTTGCAGAAAACAGATCAGCAGTGACTCACCGACTGCTTGGGAAGCACACTTACTGAGAATCACTAGACCTGTGTGGGTGACAGGGAACAATATGCTAGTGATGCTGTTTCAATCATAGTCCCATACAGCAGAGACTCCTCTGCTAGCCATGCAGGACGAAATCAAGTTAATTAGTACTTTGCCTTTGTGTTCATTAGAGACAAATTCCACCTTCACGTTTTTCCGCAGTTTCAGCCTTTTGAGGACTCTTTGCTATGAGAGGATTTCAATTCTAGTGAATGAAGTCCAGACTGAGCTTACACTGGGCTTTACCACGTCTTCTGCAACCCTCTTGGTGACAGATTTAACCCGTGAGTGAAACAGAGATTTAAAGCTACATCACATCCTCTGAACTACACTATGATGTGGATGGTACACACGAGATGGGCAGTATCTCCATCTGGACTACCAAGATCCTGAGAAGTCGGGTCCTTACAACTATGCTCCAGGTTCTGCATTAAGAAGAAAGCAAAATAAAAGTACTGTCTCATCAGTGTAATTCAAAGGAGCAGCTGTCTTCGTGGTGAAAAAGTTTGTACTACTAGAGCAAAATTTGCAGTCCAACAAGGTATTTGGATTAGTTTTCCGCAAATCACAAACTATAGTTTCAATCCTATGCTTTGGTACTCCAGAATTTTTAAAGATTCAGTTGTCTGAGTTATGTGAATTCAAGCACATTATTTCTGGCCTGTCAAAGAATCTCAGGTCGGAGAGTTTGAGATTATAAAGCCCAAAACCACTGTCTTTGCTAAACTATTTTCACTGGCTCCTCAGATCTGGCTGAAGAAAGAGTGACAACTGCAAAGGAAATGGTATTACAGACCCAATATTTAAATGTTTCTTCTTTACAAATGGTAATTCAAGATGTTTTGACAAAACCAAAGTATATTCCTTAATAATAACTCTGCCATTCAATGGCTCCTTGTGTTCTGCTCTCAATTCTCACATTGAACCACCACTTGAGTGCCTAAATATCCTCCAAGGATGCCATCAAATGCACAGCTGGCAGCTGGCATATAAGGTTTCTTTTGTGTTCCTCCTCCTAACTGAAATATCCATAGATTGTAAGTTTTGAAAGAGCAGATATACTCATTTCTCTGTGAAATGTCATGTGCTTTTATTAACAAAGGCTTAAGAAATGCTGCTCACCATAGAGGAATTTTGATGAGCAGAAAATCAGTTCTCTAAGTGGAATTTGGCCAAGACAGAATACAGTGTCCTGTCACACAGTTTCTAGATCTGTGGGTTCTTGGAACAACAAAAGGCAAGAGTTTGTAAGTCTAAGACAAGGGCATGGCCCTAGCTCATCCATTTGACAGATACAGGTCCGCAAGCCATAAATGAATATATCTCTATTGGAGAGGCTCCAGTCCATGACACCGAAACATTTGTCAGTTGATCAGTAAGCTTTTGAGATGAAAAGATGCAGAGGAACAAAAATATTAAGAAACCACCGTACCTCCCACACTTTCAGAGGATGAATCATTAAGAGGCCAATTCTGCAAAGTGCTCCTCACTTCTCTGCAGCTCTGCACAGGAAAAATTAAGCAGTGACGTAAAACAAGAAAAAGTACCCTTTGCAACTGTCCCACCACCAACTGCTAGGAGCTATTCATTAAAGATCACCTCTTTCTTTCCTCAGCCCACGCATGGGGGTTCAGATGTCAGGAGCAGAACAAGTAATGTTTGAATTTAGACCTGTCCACCTTTTTGGAAAATTTTCCCAGCAACTGACAGATAGAAGTGGACAAATAACTGGGAAGATTACTAGCATCTGTTGTTGGCTTTTCAAGTACTAGCCTAACTATGATGTATCCTAGGATGACTGGTGTTTTTTCTGCTTTGGGAAAGGCAATCATGTTCAGGTCAGACATGGACCTAATTGCTTTGTACTAAATAACTTGTGCTGTGCAAACCATTTAGACCATTTGTGGAATATGTGATGTGGGAACTATACTCTTATGCTATGGGAAGCAAGTGGGAAGTAAACCTGCATGGTTATTACTTGGTGCTATTTGAGTTCTCATCAGCTTGACTTGCAAGAACAAGACTCTGCAGATGTAATCTACAGACATTCGTTCATACTGAGATATTTTAACACCACCTCTTAATCTTCAATCTTATTTCATCTTCGTTCGAGGTTGAAGGCGTCAAGAATGAGATGCACATTTGTCTTCAGGAGCTAGAAGCCTGAAATCATTGAAAATCCAAGTAGCAGATTTCTGGAGAATAACATGTCACAAATACTTAGAAGAGGACCAGAAAGCAGTATTTTAAAATACTTTTTAACAGGCCTCACAACAAAATACCACTTATTTTAAAGCCCAAGCTGCAAGTTACTGGAAATCATAGTCAATGGTTGTTCATTGGTCTTACTAGATATCAGTGAAATGGGCAGGAATTTCGTGGTTCACAGTTTCACTTCATGTTCAAATTTTCTGTGTTGATTTTTTCTTTAATTTTAAGAGTGGTCATTAATCCACAGTAATACGTTAATACGGTGTGGGTTGGGGGTTTTTTTGTTTATTTGTTTGTTTAAAATGTATGGCATGTTGTATCCTATTAAAAAAAGTTTGACTAAAAAATTATGCAAAAGGATTTAATAATTTAAGTACTTGTTCAGCCATATGGAAATGTACAATCTGTTTTATGTTCTGCGGGAAACCTACAGTTGCTATAAACTTAATGAATTTTAAAACCTCCCATACATTATTTAATACAACAATTTGCTAAAGTAATAATAACACTCATTCTGTTACAATTTGCCATACTGGAGATGCTTAGAGATAAGTCAGGGGTACAAAACTCCAACAGTGATCAAAAATCCTCTACAGTTCAGGAGGATGCAGCGCTGGAGTTTAGTCCCACTATCTCTGAAAATACTATCACTTCATCATTAGGCAAAGAAATGTCATTATCATATTACACAGAATGGAAGACATAACATAAAAGTTTGGTTCATTAGTACTTCTTTTCCATGTAAATCTTTATAAAAGAGATAAAGCTGAAGAAAATAAAAACAGACATGTAAATATTACAATGAAGTACATTGTTCTTATTTAAATAAATTTCCTTGAGCAACATCTTCTTAAAAGGTGAAAATCAAACACTATTATTTGTCTCACTGTATAAAAGTGGCAGTAGTAATTATAAAGAGTCTGATGGTATTATGCTTATTTCATCCTATTCTTAAGTTTTCACAGCAAAAATATTAAAATTTGCAGTATTACCAAAAAGATGCAAACCTGTCAAATATATTACTCTGAAGTAAATTAACAATTAATTTATAGGAACCTACCATAGGAACTATTAAGTGGACAGTAGTAATGGTTTTCTATATAAAATCTATCAAAAATTGTTGGAGAAAATATATGAAGCGTAGCTGATAGCTGATGAAATCTGCAATATGGCCACAGAGAAATAAGTTGCAGATCATCAAAGTTAGCTCTTGTGCAGAAACATCCACCATGAGTTCATTAATTTAATTTTTCACTGGAGAACAGCAGGAGGTTTCCATAATGCAACCATCATAGGAAACTGATTCAACGCTGTACTTTAACCTTTACCCGTAGTTGGAACTTACAACAGTTTAGATTTTTTGGTGCTCTGATCTCTCTTGCTCTCCAGAAGGCTACGTAGATATTAAAATCTTTAGCACAAAGACAGCTCTCTCTAAAGCACTGGCAACTGGTCTTAGTAGAAGACTGTTCAAAAAAAGAAAGGAACAAACAGATTTATCTGGACTGGCAAAGCAATACAGTAACACTCTATACATAAATCAGAAAACTAGGTCATCATTAGAAGCTGAGAGATTTGTAGTCTATGCCCTACAGACACACATGCACGTAAACTCATTTAGTTTACAGGACCCTTTGCAGATTTAAAGGTGTTCATCTGTGTAAGTCTTTCTTGGACTGAGTCAGCAGCCAAGCCCTGATCTTGCACCAATGAAGGCAAAGTGCACTTTCAACAATTCTGAATAGCAACAAACGTCAAGTGATTGATTCTACCCAACCTCAGGCATTTAACTAGAGCACCTAGACAAGGACCTAATTAACCCAGGCTCTGTTCATCAACACTGATGGAAAGCCCCAGTCTCAAGGTGCTTCAGTCATGCCCAGGTCAAGGGTGATGGTGTTCCTAGCTCAGACATCTCAGCCAGGTTATTGAATTTAGGTGTGATGACCAACTGAAAGCCTTCCCGTATATGAGTGCTCACGGCGAAGTCCATGAAGTTTTAACTGTTCATATGAATAAAGACAATCAGTGTATGTCTTTATATACTACAGTATATACAGTATATACTAGGCCTGCATTCAGCACTGCGACCAGCTAGAACTGTTTCTGGCTCTTCACCTAAATTAGGATTCTGCTTCCTATGGAAATTGTTGGCAGCTTTATAATTTCCCCCTCCCCACTGGCTAGACATCAAAACAGTTCCCTTTCAAAATTAGTCAATGTTTATTTAGTTCTAATTCTGAATGGAAACTTAGCTTGTTTTATTTTCCTTCAGACATAAACTTGTAGAGGACTTCTTTCAGTTATTTAGTTTAAACTCTTAAGGCAGGAATAGAGCCTATAAATTTCCAGTGCCCTATTCTGAACAGCGGAAAACAAAGCCCCCACGGATTCTCCCAGAGCAAGAGGAAAGTTCCAGTATGTTACTTAGTGGGTGTCTTACTTTGGTCCTCAAGGTCCTCCCCAAAATGGAGATTGCCATTTCTAACTGCAAACTACTCATTCCCGGGAAAAGCTTTGTCTCTACAGATGCTGGTCTATGCGCTGCTGATGCACCTCACCTCTCATGGAAGGTCTTAGTATCGTTGCAGGATTAGCTGTGGTGTGGTTGAAGCTGAATACAAGGACATTTGATTATGCCCAAACAGAGTAATACGTCATTTCCTTGCTTCTCACTTCTCACCGAGTAGGTGACTTTACACACTTTCTAATTTACGTCTGCATCACTGAGAACTGGCTCCTGGTCCAGCCTTTAGGAGAGTTACACTGCAGCTGGAGAAGAAACCGCGTGATTCCCAGACCACCCAAAAACAGCTGAGGGAGCATTGCCACCTTGTTTCTGTTCAACAAATACATGCCAACCACATAACGTTAATTAAGACATACTGTACCTCCAGCAGTTTGTATCTTGATGTGTTTATTTCCTTCTAATCTTAATAGGAAAACAAAAGATAAAGATGGTTAAAACATTGTAACAAATCACTAATTTAGAATACTGTTTAAAAAAAAAAAAAATCATGCAACAAAGGTACTACTGTTCCAAAATCAGCTACTATTATTTTGGTTAATAGTGTTATTTTTCTTCATTTTTTTTCTTTTGCAGCAAATTTTGGAAGCATCAGACAGTGACTAAACTCTGTGCCGTATGTATGTGATGGCAGCATTTTGTTGTATTAAATCTAAACAATATTACCTGATTTCATAATTATATGTTTATGACTTGTCTATTAAGTACTTACAAACCTAACGCTTTTTCCTACTGTTCGAAAATATCACATGGAAAAGAAACAGTTTCCACTGGGTTTCACATACGAACAGAAATAAACCTGAAAGCAAGCACTTACTAGCTGTTATTACTGGAATTCACCACAATGCAAGTAAACACCTTCAAAACTAAAAATAGCGCTGAGGCTCTGCAAGTGCATCTATCACAGCCTCTTAGTCCTAACAGGGTTTTGTTTTCTTTGAATTCACAGAGCACTCAGAGTGTGGAGAAGCTGTTCAGAAGACAATGTACCACATTGTCAGCACCTGCTCTAGTATCCTTCTGCAAAAGTGTGCTAAAATTTAAATAAACAGGAACAATCACTTTAATGACTATAAGTAGCCCCACTGCCTTAAGAGGCTCCAAGGCTAGCCAGTCTGTCTGAAATAATAATGGATTTTTAAAGGAAATACATCTTACCAGATAAAATTAAACTAAGAAAGCAGGGGAAATGCAATACGCAACCTTCCAATACCTTTCGGTGCAGCTTTCGTCTGACTGGAAACCATGGGAGCTGCGTCCGATGGCAGGCCAACATACACACCACCATAGTTCCTGATTTAAAGAAACAATTAAAGAGACATAAGAGCTTAATTGTAACACTTCTCCCTATAATGTTGACATCATAGAGCAGCATTACAAAGACCATGGATGGTCAGAGAGAAGGACACCTCTGCACGAGCATCCAGACGAACCCTCCTTTCCTGTGGCTATGGGAGAAGTGCGCATTAAGTGCCATGTGCTTGCTAATCTAGTGCCAGGCAAAAAAACATTGAGGCTAGCTGTAAGTGGGACCCAAACCTGTGAAAGGAGCTATTTTTCACTCAAGTTCCTACATTTTTCATTAAACCCCAACTCTCTCGTGACAATAAACCCCACCTGCCCAGTTTCTTCTAGACACTGAATACATCCAACTGAGGACAGAGCCAATCTGATAGTAACATATGACACTGGGACCACCAAAGCACCTCATTTCAAACAATGCACAACAATTAAACAGCCCTTTGACCTCTCCTCACTAATAAATAGGACCTGTATCCCACTGCTTAGGGCCACACTTGGAGAAAAACTGTTAGTAGGAAGGAGCACAAGAGTGTTAGGTACATTCATAGCCCAACTCTCTCCCCTTCATGGCCTTGCAGAACATAATTTCTGTCTCCAAAGCCTGTATGAAAAGCAGGGACTATAAAAGCAAGGAGGTGAAAAACTGGGTCCTTAAGAGCCTCTGCCATGCCTGGAGCTACTTGCAGAGGCTCCCATTACATTGCTTTGCCCCATTAAGTGCCAAATTAAACACACCTCATCCAGTTCCCAGGGCTTAGAGACAATTTCTGATTTGTTTGATGATAGAGTCATACTTACTTTGATTTCCAGCCCAGCAGAGATCTCCCATAAGTGCTAATGCTATCTTCTGTGGCAGGGCTGGTGTGAAGTCAGAGGTCACTGGCTCTTATTGAGCACATCACCTACATCTGTGAGATTATGTGCTCTTCTGGCCACAAAGTTCCCTCATCTCCAACTCACTAACAGAGTGAGGGGACTCATCAATACGGGGCCCTGTGTGAGATTTCCTCCTCTCTTTTCTTTTTTCCTTTTTCTCTGTTTTGGTGGTGTTGGTGGGAATTAGGAGGAGGGAAGGAAGGATGTACATCTGGAGGCAGAAGTCACTTCAGCCTGTTGCAAATAAGTCAGCCCTGGCAGAGAACCTACCTCCTTTTGTCATCATCCGATACGGATTCTTCTGCTCTGTAACATCAAAAGACACAAAGCACATTAGCAAATTGTTTCTTTCAGATACTCCATGACCATCTGGGTAGATTCAGGAGCAAGGGAAGAAGGGGATTATTACTGATCCCAGTTTAATTCAGGTCATCCACAATTCAATAAAGTACTCACATAGGCACGAAAGCACTGACAATTTTCCAATCTAATCTACAGGAGAAAAAAAGGATTTAGAATAGATGCAGCTTACTTTTCATGACACCCGCCAGTGGTGCCTGCAAGTAGATTTTGGAGCTGAAACAGGTAAATAACACTTTTCCCAAGTGAGTCCCCACACTGTCCCACACGTTAGAGGAACATAAAGGCTCTGCACGTAACAGGAATGAGGCTGGGCTGCTATTCCACCAAAAGAGGACTGGAGGGGACTGGGTGTCCATGCTGGCATGGGAATGAGGATAAAGAAGGATAAACTTTCACAGTAGCTGTGCCAAAAGATGTTAGAGCCTCTCCATAAAATGACGTACTGCAACTCCCAAAGACAGAGTTGTTTGCAAACCACATAACTGTTACTAATCCTTTATAAATGAGCAACTACTTCTCTTTTACCTGTAGGGTAAAATCACAGGTCAGTCTGTAAATTGATAGGGAGTCACTGAGGTTTGACTCCCCCCACTGAAATACTGTCCAGTGTAGCTCAACCAGAGCAGGGGGTAATCAGCATTAATGTGAAAGCAAATTTAGCATAGAAAAATAAGGATTTAATTCTTTTTCCTTGAGGGTAAATTGCTGTGCTGCAGACTCAGTCTGTGCCCCAGCATCAGTCTTCACACAAATTACTCACCCACCTTTGATTAAATATTTGGACTTTGAGCTCTGCTTGCATGGCTGGATATGGATCAGGGCAGCAGCTGCACTTTGGTTTGCAACCTACCAATCTAGCAATAAAAATACTGTCAAGATAACTCAAGTGCTGTTAAATCCAGACATCCTTCACTCCTTCCCTACAGCTGAGAGCAACTGTGACAACTGCCCGAGAAGGGGTCCTGCACCACAGCTGCTCAGGAAGCCATGAGATACGGCCACAACGGTGCACAGGGAAGGCTGAAAACAGCAAAGGGGGCACCATGACCCAAGGAGAGCTCTCCCGTTTACCCAGATATCCTCACCTGAATATTCCCATCAAAGGACCAATTGCCTGGACTATGGGGTCAATGCAAGGATACTCCCCATCATGAGCTCATCCCTGAATTTGTGATCCGCTTCCCAGGCACTAAAACAGAGAGCTGGCCTTTACCCGGGGTTAGGGCTAAATCCATACTGTAGCCTTGAAAGGCATTTCTGAACCATGATCTTGAACAATCATATATGACATTCCTTAATGTAATTTATTTATTCTGACAGGTAGATGTGCCTACTGTTTAATCATCAGGGCTTTCCATCCCTTCCTGGGGACACCTTTCTAAGCAGCATGGGAAGGAACGATGCTCTGGTTTGTGCATTACACATACGTACACACCTCTTGACTTCCTATGCTGTAGCTTAAGGCCCCATTTGAAAGGTGCCCACTAATTTCACATGGTCAAATGCCCAGGTGCCAGCTGAGCCATTGCAGCAGTGCTGCTTCTGTGCCCAGGTTGGGTGAACACAAGTGGCTCTGAGGAGCAGAGCTGCAATGGCAACACTCGACCACGTGGAAGTGAGAATGGAAAGAAGCTCCTTTGGTTCGGTGGTGCTCCCATTGCCACATCTCCCAGACACACAGAGAGGGCATGGGGATACAGGAGTCGAGCACATCCTTTCTCTCTCCCTCTCTACCTCCAATGTGTCTCTAGTTTCTTATGTCAGGGATGAGGGAAGAACCTAACATAAAAAATATCTTTAAATATCTCCATTTACAGAATCATCCAAGAAGAACAAGCTAGGATAAGCTTTTCTGCACCAGGAAGAGAGAGCAAAAGGAACCTATCAGTCTGATGTTCTTTGTACTGATCTGCTGCCATTTCGCTGCCTCCTCCCTCAGATGTCGACATCTCCTGCAGAGGAACTGAAAGCACCTTTTCCAGCAGGTAGTGTAGGTGGAGTCCTGTAGCCAGTAAGTGGATTTAACAGCAAATCCACACAACATTACTCTATTTTGAGCTAGAATAAATGTTTCTCGTGGTAAGGACCTGTCTATCCCAAGAGGCTTCCTGTCACCCTCCTAAGTCTGAAAAATATACTTGGTTCAACTGTCAGTTTTTACATCAATCAGTCCTATGTCCATTTGACGGTAAAAGAAGCTGCCATTTTCCACATAATATTTTAAATGTCAAATGACAGGCATTCACATTAAGTCATTCCATTGACATTTTTCTTGCCTCAGCTTTTAGGACTCTCCTCATGCCAAGCATTATACAGACTTTTTCTAGCTGTTCTCAGTAGTCCCACTAGAAATGATTCAATAAACTTCGCACAAGTGACAGACTAAGTCTCCTCAGTTTCTCAGCATTTTTGGGGAACAAGGGCATGCCATTTGTATTTGATGGATTTCTTCCCAATATTCTGAAACAGGCTTGAATTGCTATATCCTTTCCTTGCTACTGTTACTCATCTCCCTCTGAACTTAGCCACACTCTGAATATCACATGCTTTGCATTATTTTCTAGCATACACTTAACCCCTCCTATATCTCAGCTTTTCCAGTTAGCAGTGATGTACTTCACTTCATTAGTGGGGCAGGAGTGTTGGCTGAAGCTGAACAACAGATTCACCACTGATTTGAGGGTTGGAGGACACTCGAAGAGGTCACGTTCCCAGACCACACATCCTTTTTTTGCCTCCGCATGGCCCTCAATCTCAGAGCACTTTGTGTAAGAAGATCATATCATCATCTCTATCTTACTGGTGGATAAACTCAAGGCCCAAAGGTTAAAGTACCTTTCCTGCAGTCACCCGGGAAGGCTCAGAGCAGGATCCAGCCCTCCCTCCTTCCACCCGGCTGCTTACTCCAGGAGATGCTAGTGGCTTGGCAATGAGTTGCAGGCAAGAAATGGGAAATCTCTTGAGTTAGAATAACCAGATTCTGTATCAAAAAGTATGCTGTAGGGACACACGTAAATGCTTTTCTGAAACAGAACCAATATGACTGAAATTTGACAGAAAAAAAAAAAAAAAGTAGGTTTTTTAAAGAGAATTTTTTAATCTTTAGTTGATAAAAAAGTATAACATAAAAGCTTGTGTGGATCTATGTTAGTTAATATAAATCTGCTTTGTTCATTTCCATTAAAATAAAATAGTTTTTCTGGTATTTTACTTCCTTTATAAAAATCTGCTATTAAATATTAGGATGACCGATTTAGGACTTTTTGGATCATCACTGCCATTCCTCATTAACAAATCTGTGTTTCTAATGTCTGGCAAGGAGGCTCAACCATGCTATTACTCACACAGGTTGTTCAGCTGGCTCCACTATACTTATGCGAATGAGTAATGGTTCCAGGATTGACCTTTTCACTTTGTTGAAGTCTGCACCAGTAATCATTTTTTTCTAAGTTATGCCAATACTTTTCTGAAACATGACAGCTGATCTAACGCTAATAAGTAGGATGTTCCCAGTTTAACTCCTAAAGCCTGGCCCTACAAACGCTTACATACACACAGATGCAGTTCTAAATATACCCATACCTTTAAGCAGAGAAATGTGCCTACTAAATTCATAATTTAACAGTGCTTGCAACTTTGAAATGTAAAACTACCAAAGAGTGAAGAGAGAGATGCAGTTCTAAGTCAGTCGCTTAAATTCTCTAAATTGAACATCAGGAGAAGGCCCTAATACAAACTAAAAACAGTGGGTTTGTATACACAGAAGTGCTGAGGGCATGGATGCTGCAGGCTGCACCAAGAAGAGGTTCCTCATAAGCTTGCCTTCTGTAATTTATTTATTGTCTGACACTGTAAACCCATAAAACAGACTACACGGGTAACACAGATCTGAAGAGTATCTATGACAGTGTTCATTTGCCAAGTGAGACCTGTCGTTAGCTCTCAGATGTGCTCTGTAATAGCAAGGACAAGCCTGTTGTTAAGCTCTTCTCTCCACTTGTTTATCAGACTTGACAGCCTTCATTTCTACACCAAGATTCCTCCATCTAATTAGAGTAGTTATTCTAAATGAAGTAAATAAAACTGAAGAATGTTCCTATTGCATAACATTAAAATCTTTCCCAGGTCCCTCAGTCTCAATCTCTAGTGGTAAATACCAATTATATGAAACAGAAGAAGGCAAGACCTCGGGAGGACTTCTTTAATGTTTCCTTTGATGGAAAATAAATTTATGGCTGAATAACGCTGTTCCTGTACTCTTCTGTATCAGCAAGTGAAAAATGGTCTGAGAAAGGCTGATCTTTTGCTGGTGCTTTTCTGAAAACCAGAAGTTGGCAAGAGGCAACAGGGAAAAAGTGGTTCAGACCTTACAAATTTAGAGAAAAACAGGATGGGTAGGGCTGCCCTCTGCTACTCAGCATCAAAACATAAGGGAGAGAAAGAGGAGCAGACAGATACTATCTTCAGCGTGGAGAATATCTAGAGAAGGTGGGTACTTTGACAAGTAAGTCTGGAAGGGTTACTGGGTCTCTCACTTTAAATCTCTCTGAGGGCATGGTGGAAGCTTATGTGGCTGCTTCATACAATGACATGGCCTTTGGAAAAAGGGGTACCTGTACATGACAGGGAAGAGTAGTCCGAAGTAACATGACCACCTCTGGAAGACAACTCTCAACAGTAGCAGAAAAAAAAGACATTTATGTTGGAGAAATAACAAGGGAAGTAATCTGTAGAAAAGTAAACGACATGAAGTTGTTTTGTGGAGATGGAAGCTGTCACTAAAGACAATAAACATCTGGTGGTGTTGATTATATGTTAGGAGCCAGATGAATTATATATGACTAAATCTAGTATAAAGCTAGTAGGACTGAAGATAAGTCCAGAGTTACATATTTGAAAGAGTAGAAGAAGTACTTACATATCTTTAGTAGTCCCTGTGGCACCTAGAATGAAAAAAAAAAAAAAAGTGCATGTTTACAAGATAATGGCATAATCCTCTAAACCAACTGGTAGTACAGTAAGCATTTTTCTGCCTTTCTGTCCTAAACAGCACAGAAATAGCAACAGGAACTTTCTATTGTCAGAGAACATGTTTCTCATATTTGTCTAGTTTATCCTTAATGATTATCTATATTTTCCCTTAAGTCTACCACGCTTAGATCCCAGCCAGGTTCTTGGTGAGTGAAAATTGTGCTGCTGTGGACAAGTGCCCAGGTGAGAGCAAGGTAAAACAAAATTCGTCTTTCTGAATTTTATATGGTTCGCTTTGCTCAGTCTTCTGGTGGTTTTGTCTGCCACAAAGTTGCCACAACTAATCAAGCAGTTACTCTTGAATGACTGTTTACTTTGCCATTTGATTCAGCTGTAGACTTGGCACTACATGTGTAAAATGCTGCTCCATTCTTCCTGCCAGATAAACGAAGCTTCATGAAACAACTAGATAGAACCAATATAAATGTTGGGACACAATCCATCCAAAGCCCTGTACATCTAAAGAGATTGACCACCCCTTAATTCATCTTGCTATTTAACAAAACAGCAAAAAGACAAAAGCTACCACCTGGCTGCCTGATCTCAGTGACTAGTATTTTTTTTTTTTTTTTTTTTTTTTTTTGGTGACTCAGATGCTTCTTGCTGGGAGAGGAACATTCACTCAAGTACAAACTCTTTCCTGTTCCTCCCAAGTTATTAATGCCATGTTGCTATTACTGGTATATCATTCAGCTGAGTAACCAGCAAATTATCCCTTCTATTAATTACACAAGCTAGGGTAGACATTAGAAAACCTTTCACTTCTTTTCCTCTTCCTCTTAGTACTTAGCTGGAAGAGGTTATCTGAGCTCACTCTGAAGAAACTACAGTTGTCAATACAAAAGATTTTATGGATTTGGAGGTAGGTTGGGATTTTTTCAGCCATGACACTTCATTTCATTAAAAATTTCATTTTTGCTGCTGGAAAATATCCATAAATATCAAATATCTTTTGTCTCAGTCTGATGTGTAAGAATACGCCTTCTGCATCCTTATTTTAAATGCAGGGAGGAAGAAACAGTCCTGCAAGTCCTTCCAGCACTGTCTGCCTGAACGGATGGCTTGTATGGCAGGAAACATCTCTCTTTACAGCTAACTCTTGAACATAACATCACTGCCAATTCCTATGACTTGACTATCCCTCCTTTTCCTAGCAAAAATGTAGACTGGACTTGTATGACACCGTACACACTTCTTTTGTTCATATTGCTTCCAGAGTCAGCAAAATCTCAGTACAGCTACGTGTATCAGCAGAAACTCTTAATTAAGTGGAAGGGAGTACCTTTATGCACAATAAGCTTAGTTCCTCGCTTCAAAACTTCATTCTGCCAGGCAGCTTTCTGAGACTTTCTGTCTTTATGAATGTGTCTACATGGTACTACAAATAAGCCTTCCAAATTAATTGTGTCCGGGTGGAAGGTTGGCATTGCAGCAATGCATGCAAGCTTGCTCTCAGCGGATGTAGGGAGCCATTTTCTGCCACCAAGATAAGCTCATCCAGAGTCAGCTCAGCTGCGTAACTTCAGGGCAACACCCTGCACATCTAGACAGAGCCTAGGCATCAGCAACACTTCAGGCAAAGACGGTTTCAAAAGCCAAGTTCTATTGCTGTAGTTAGCAGGATTTCTTTTTTTTTTTTTTCCTGAAGAAACTATTCCTGTACTGTGCCTGTTCTGCACCAGAACCACAACTTTCTCATTTTTCCAACCTAAGCTCACTGCAAACAAATTCAGTTTCTCCAAAAAGAGGAGAGGTCCTTTGTAAGGGCTTTGCCAAGACTTTTCTGAGTCTGAGCTGAGGTCCCAGTGCTTTGGATCCTCATTTGAAAAACTAACGCCTTCCTTGCAGGAGGTATACCAAAAGTAAAAAGCATTTCATACAGAAACCGAAACCTTAGCTGGGTGAGAAGAACTGTGTGCCTACAGTACCGCCACATTTCCCAGTGGAGATACTCAGGTTCCAGCCAGTCACCAGGCACACTTCAATGCCATGCCCATGTTCAATGCCGTACATGCCTTCAGTGCATTACAGCACACACACATTTGCACTCTGGAGACAGGATCTGTCTCTCAGACCCATCCATGTGGGCTTCTGAATCTGTGTGTGAGAGCAGAGGCGTGCTGCTAGCATTCACACCTGGCAGCACTTGTTTTCTTTCAATATTAGAGAGGGTATCACAGCCGGAAAATCACTGCAGCATTTTTCAATGCACCTCACAACAAAACATTGAAAACAAAGTACAATAAAAACAAATTCACTTTTCAAGAGACCATTTTTACTATTTATAATGAATAAATGCATATAATAAACAAAGAGTTTGTTTTCTATTGCTTTTATAAACACAAAGAACAGGTTATCCTTCCTTCCATTTATGGGATTTAATTGATTTCAGTGGTGATTTCTCATTTTCACTAGCAAAAGTAAAAAAAGGGTTAGGTTCAAATTCACTTGAGTACCATTAAAGTACCTCAATATAGATCTGAAAGTCTTTCCAGTTCACAAAGCAGTTTTCTTCCTGGAAGACTTCTGAGCTCGCAAATGAACATCACTTCAGTTAGGTGGCCCATAAATATCTCTGTGTCAACATTCATAAGGTTTTCTTCCTTAGGCAGCCTTAACACTCCTTATACATAGATTTTATGTACAAGGAACCCAACAATATTTCAGTTTGTACAGACGCATTTGTTTTTAAAGTCCAATCCATTCACCCTCACCCCTGTTACTTCACTGACATATTTTTCTAACTATTCCACGTTTAGTGAGCAACATTTTTATTTTATAGCTTCTCAAGTTCCGCCCGCCAGACGTTCAGCCAAATAATCTTGTTCACTACCGATTCACAAACAGTGCATAGCTGTTCCACAGCAGCAACACTTACGGATCTCGTAGCCATGATGTTTTAGACATATGACTTGAGAAAAGCCTCACACATATGAAAGTTTGTCCATTTTTTCCCACTATATCAAGGCAGCATTTGATCTTAGAGGCCTTGTCTCTATAGGCTCATGTTGGTTTGGCTTTCCAAAACGTGCCTAACCTTAGCAAGAGGCTGAGGCACAGCCAGGAAGCTGCATCTACAAGAATCAGGCAGCACTCAATTGTCCTGAATGACCTCTCTGCTCACAGCAGTTATGTAGTGGGACCATGGGTGAATTTTGGCATTTTAGAGCTGCAGGAGGAATAGGAAGAGTACAGGCCACAGAATAAACGAGGCCCATTCAGCCATACATCTCTCTGAGCTCAAGTGATTACAGAAGAGAAACATTCTGTCTGGTGGAGCTGTGATTCCTCAGAAAAACCCCATAGCTTTTAAACAGTCACAAATGAAGGACAAGAACATATCCAAAAGCATCTTCCATTCAGTGAGAGGGGTTTTGCACTTTCAAAGCAACAGCAGCTTGTTACTGGTGACCCTGCAGGATTTCAGTAAATGCAGGACAATGACAAAAGATGGCTGAAAGAAAGTGATAGCCAACAATGACATTCCTCTGTGCTAAGAAATGCATCATGAGTGAATGTGGAAGACAAAAAATTCAGACAAACATCAACGGGGTAAGAGGCAACCACTTACAGGAATAAAAACACATAGACAAAAAATGCCAGTACCTGACTCCAGAGCAGATTATGAACCATTTTTCCATTAATTTTTAATGAAGTTTCCTACAGTATTTTCATGCAAATACTTCAAATTGTTACAAAAAGCAAACAAAAGCCTCAAAATTATACACACATGCATGTAACAGTTAAGATTACAAATTATTTTTCTATTGTAGGCTCCTTTCTGATTTGCTCCAAAATACAGCAGTATGGAACCAAGTCCTAACATCAATGAATTTATTCTATTTATACCCCCAGTGTAACTGAGGACAGAATTATATCAATTTACTTCAAAGTGATTACTTCTTCAACTCATCGGGTAGCAGTTCCATACATAGACTTGACCCGATTAAACATTAATTTTAAAAATTAGTTGGATTTTAAGTAGAATGGCAGGATGGTTTCCTGGGCATTCCACCAAACTTTAAGTTAATAAATCTGTTTAAACCTGGCGTGAAAGTTCTCCTTCATCATAATTTGGCTATATTTGAAGCTCTCCACAGACTAACAGCTTCTCTGCATATTTAAATTAAGGCTAGACTGCCAGCCTCCACTGAATACTATAATTTAAGGTGCTGTCATTGTTTCTACAGTTGATACAGAAAGGAGGAGGCAGTTAAAAATTGTTAGTGAAGCAACACTGGAATGAAGGGAAATGCCTTAACTCAGTAAAAAAGTAAATGAATGTTTAAGGACATATTTTTAAAAAAAAAAAAAAACAAAAAAGAAGAGCTATTTTGGAGCTTCTAAAACACCAGGGAATGACATGAAAGAAGGATATGTAAAGCGAGGTAACAAAACATCAGGAAAATAGGAATTTGTTAATAAAGCTTTCTATGGGTAATGGGTAAATTTAAAAAATAAGTATAATCCATGGTTAACATAAAATAGTTAGGTGATTTAAGAAGGATGTGTATGTATCAGTTTACTTGGATAAGAGAAGATGCCATTTCTCAACTAAGGAGCCTTTTGGCAGTGTCTGATGCTCTGGAAGGAAAATTTAAACTCTGTGAGTTATACTGCTGTCATGGAGTACTGCACCACAGACATAAATGTTATTCTAGATCATGTCTATTAGTTTAGATCTTGCAGACCATAGACCTGATAGCTCCTCTAATGTCATTCTAGCTGTGCAACAGAAGATAATATCATTAGCTGAACTATCATTATATATATGTCTGTTTAGGAAAAATTGAGTTAGGCTACAATAAAAATTTTACCAGAATAAGAAAATGGGGACTAGTGTAACACGTCTAATGTATTCTGTGAAGTATGCTACAATATTATCCTTAGTCATATAATATGACAGAGAGTGTTACAGGTTAATTATATATTATGTACCTCTAGCTTTGACATTACTGACTGTAGAATAGTCATAACTTTAGCACTACAGATGTAGTCATGCTGTGCAAGCCACAGGATTAATTTGTATTTACACAGTATTCACATCTTTCGGGAAAATATTGAAAGTTACACTTGCCTTAAGAGCTCTAGAATTCCAATTAAAATGATACATATTCTCCTTCCCCTATATAAAATAATTGTGGGTTTTTTTTTTAAACACATTGTAAGGAACGCTAAATGGAAAAAAATAAATAGCAGACATCTCACTTCTTACATTTATTACCAATTGTTGGTTATTGTAACACCATAGACTGCATCGAGTTATTCCTGACTAACAGTGGAGAAAGTGAGAAGAGAACTGGACCTTTCAGAGCTGTATTTGCTTTGGAAAGGTCTATCAGGACAACAGTAATGATGTCATTATACTAATTATGTGGTTTACATGGCACTGTTGTTTTTTACATGTGCTAAGCCATTGGAGATCCGTGGACTATTTCTACAGAGTATGCAAAAGGCTGCCACAAAATGGAAGTTCAAATGTATTATGAATAGCAGTATAGGTAAGTTAAACTACCAAAGGGGCTGTACCTTCAGTAAAGATAATTTATGAATCTACAAGACAAAACCTGTTGAAACTAGGCCAAAACCAGTTGAAAATAGCTACCTTTAGTGCAACAGTGGACACATTTATTTAAACAACCAAACTTTCAGTTCAACATAATTCACTAAATACTACTGCTGTCAGAGTTAGTCTATTTGACATTTACTCATTTGCGTAATAGTACAAATTCCACAGGGTGGCCAGATCAACATTAATTGAGAAGCTACTCCAACGGGACTAACAATCAACTTGAAAATTTTCCTCTGAACGTCCCTGACACTTGCTCTGGCGCTTTTACCCAGCAAATTGAAATGGGATGTGAATAAGCATTATCCCAGCAGTATGAAGCTACATTGGTCATAAACTGACAACACCTCCAGTCACAGCGACATAGGAATCAACTAATGGGAGAGAATTAATGTGTGCAAACAGGACAGCTCTAATAAGAGTGTTGGAACTTCAAGCAAATTCACACAGTGCATTCTTTACAGATGAGAGAGGCCTCTGATAGATAACGCATGATACCTAAAAACTAATTTATAATCATTTAACAGAAATTAAGCAAGCGATAATGGCAGAAAAGCCTTCCCTTCCCCTATGGGTGTGAAGTGCAGGGTTTAGTGGATAAACCAGCAAAGCATCACACAAACACACACACATACATACAACTTGGAGGATGCACCATCATTCACATTCAAAGATATGCCCAGTTCTTTAAACCAGGACTAGCACCACCAAAGCTCTGAAGAAAGTACGTCAAAACAGTAAGAGATGGAGACCCGTTAATTTTAACTGGTCCAGCCACTATTTTGCTGTGTATTTTCAAGAGGTTATGAAGCTAACAAGTTCATCTGAAAGACTTAATACAGGTACCGAAACAGGTGGCAATGTTTGCCAAGTGCTGATAGAATGAAAAACGATTGAGAAACGCTCCTGTTTATAATTACATGGTGAAAGTCCTTTTATCAATTTGTGTATACTTTAATCTCTTTGCGGGGGCTGCGGGGAGGAAGAGCACATCAGCACCATCTTCCCAGATCTTACCTCTTTTGAAAATAATGAGCAAACAAGGGAGCTGGCTGGACACACCAGCCAGCAGTACACATTAACATGCAAGAAACCTCAATCCTGGAAATATCCTCCAACTTCTCCGGCAAGCAGATGGCAAGAAGTGGCACAAAATCATTTCAGAAGTGGCGTTTGTGGCCTTATAGGGAAGCAAAGAGGATGGAGCTTACACCCCCGGCGGGATCCTTACGTCCAGCTCCTGGCCTGGGCTCGTCCCCCCCAGGAGAGCTACTGTGGGAGGAGGTGACCCTAACGCCAGTCGTGGGGTGCCCGCCGGCGGGCCACACCGCCCGCTCTCCCCTGGGCAAGGGGATCAGCCTCGGGAAAGAGAGATGCTCTTGCAGAAGCGCGGGCAGCGTTTCCCGCAGCCGGCCGGGGATCCCCCCCCCCCAAAAGAAAAAAAAAAAGGGGGGTGGGGGGCTGGGGGGGTGTGTGGGGTGTGTGCCCGCGGGGATGCTCACACCGTCGCGCCCGGCCCCGCCGCCCTACCTCGCCCTCCCGCGCCGCCGGCCGTGGAGTTGCCGCAGCCCATGGGCGCTGCCCTGCCCGGCGCTGCGCCCGGCCGTGCGGAGCCGTGCGGAGCCGTGCGGAGCGGAGCGGAGCCGTGCGGAGCGGAGCGGCGACGGGAGGCAGCCGGCAACGGGCGGAGCCGGGTGGGAGATAAAGCCGCGGGGACCCCTCCTCCTCCTCTTCCTCCTCCTCCTCCTCCTCCTCCTCTCCCCACCCATCGCCCGGGAAACCGCCGGCCCCGAGCGCCGCCGCCCGGCACCACCCCGGCCCCTCGCTGCACCCCGTGTCCGTCCCCCGCGAAAGCGCGTCCCGTCTCCCCTCCCCCCCCCACCTTCCCGGGCTTTCCCCCCGGTCTGGAGCCGTTCGGCCGCAGATGCGGCCCCCGCGGTACCCCCGGGGCTGCCCGCAGCCAGCTCGGCGCTTCCCCGGGCAGCCAAGATGCTCCTTTGGCTCATGACTTTCACGGCGGCTTGGGAACACCCCTCAGGCACCGCCGGGGAAACCGGGGTAACCACCGGTCCAGGCTGTGAACCCTACAGCTGCTATCCATGACATCCAGCTCGCTATTTTAAGCAAATATTTATTGGTTGCTTTCAGTATTTCTCTTCTCATAGAAACACGGTGGTGAAACTGAAGACCCAATGGGTTGATAAGAGCTACAGATTCGCTTTTCCCAATTAATACCAACAGCACTGAGAAACATGCAAGATGAGTTTACGAAGTCCGCAAGCAATCTTGTTTAAATCAAGATTTGTATCGTTCCCCAAGAAGAATTTGACTTATTTTCTGCTAACCCAAACCTTTCTTCCATACAGAGAAGTAAAATACTTCCAAACCCTGATGGCTTACCCTTGCTCAGTCTTTTCAAATGACCAGGGAGCTGAAACCCAATGGATACAGCCAGATGCAACCACAACAACTCTAGCTAGATATGTAATACTGGTACCATAAATTTGTTTAAGGGCTCAGAAAGCTGTTTTAGGGGTGTAATATAAACACCGGTACAAGTGTCACGTATGCACGTCACTGATAACTGTATGTACTACTAAAGGACCAGATACAGAACAGTGCTGCCTGATCTTTCAGCCTATTCAGAGAAGGGAAAGACAGACATCACTGTTCGCTTACAGACTTCCCAAAAAGCACATATTAAAAACAAGCAACTCCATAAGCAGTAGAGTCAATAAAGCCCAGTCTCCTATGGATTTTTGCTCCGGGGAGGCACACCTGCAAGGGCTGGCTGATGTCCGCCCAGCAGCCAGCACACCCGGGAGCAGGGTGGGCATTTGTAGGCTCTGCCTCCTCTGGCTGCCCACCTAATTTCATGACATTTGTAGAAAGTCAGCATTTTCAGGGTCTGCCCATACCTCCCTGACAAATTGCCTGAACAATCAGTTCCAAATTTAATAAGGCGGGGCTAACAGGCACATATGCACAGCCACACAACTCCACCACCATCAGCCCCACAACACTAGACAGGCACCACGATTATGTGCATTTTGCTTCAGAAAAAAAAAAGTCTCAGAAAGGTTCGCAGCCACCTGTTTTTGACGGCCAATTTTCTGAAAAACTGCAGAGAGAAAAATAAATCGTCAGGCTGAGCTTTTGAGTGCCAAGCATCAGCCCAAAGTGAATTTTTAACAGCAGAGGTAAGAAGGAAGAAAGGGTGCTCTGAAAGCAAAGCTAAAAGACATGCTGCTTAAGATCCAATATGGTTTTCTCATACAAAAACAAACAAAAAATCACAGCAGCCCACACTGGCCATAGGCTTGACATACTGTGGAATAATCTCCAAACATGGTTTTAGTATATAACTTACCTAAGAGGAAACAGCTGTGGTGAGCACAGAAACCGAGCCATCTCCTTACATATTAGAAGAAGCGGCTGGGAGGCAAAAATCCCCTGGAGATGCCTTCACACCAAGCCACTGCCCTGGCCACAAGGAGAAGATACGAGACTGATTCAGAAACAGGCAGTAGTATTATGGATGACAGAAGGATGTTGTAACTTCCTTCTTAAGTGTTCTCCCTCCTCTGGCAAGTTTGGTGTATCATACACAACCTCAGTGCCCTGTGTGCACAAACTATGGGCTCCACTGAGTTCAGTAAGGCAAGAAACTCCCAGCGCACCCATTCAAAGCTGGAGCTAGTCATGGTTCCAGGGGATTCAGGACAAAGGAAATGTGATATATTCCTCTATATACTGTCAGGGATTTGTAACGACTCAAAGCTGGAGCTAGTAGCCGTTCCAGGGCACTCAGGACAAAGGAAGCGTGATATATTCCTCTATATATTGTCAGGGATTTGTAATGAGTCAGCCCCTCCTGAACCTTTTAAAAGAAGGGCCCCAAGGCAAATTTTCTCTCTTGGCAGCTCTATCATAGGTGCCTCTTACTTCAAATGAGAAGACACACTTTAGTTTCAACTCTACCTGTGTTCTACACAAACTAAGCATTTTGCTCTATTACTGAAAATAGCTGGTAGCAAAACACAGTTGCATAAGCAAGCTAATTAGATAAACACTTTACATTAAAGGAATTGAGCAGTGCGTTCCCTGCATCTTCAAACTCCTGGTGCCTGCCATCACTCACTCTGAGTACTCCATCTCCTCAGAGGAAGACTGGGAGATGTATGGATGTGAGCTTCTGTAAGTATTTCAGAAGGTGTAGTGAGAAAGGACTTTGTTATTCTTTCCCTAAATCAACCTAAAATTTACCCAGATGGGAAAACAGGTTGGTTAAAAAGGATTAACCAAATCTGAAATTCCAGTGATTTTCTCTTGTTGGACATTGTTGCTAGTCTGTGTGTTTGAAATCCAAACAGTCTGTCTGCCAAGCTGGTATGCAGGTCTATGCGGAAGGAATTTGAAATCCCATAGTTACTTCTGGATATTAGGAAACAGCCCTTATTTGTACAAGAATGTATACTTCCCCAAATTCTTTTTTATCGAAGCATCCACATAGAAACCTTATTCAACCATGATTTTTTCTAACAAAACACTTGCTTCTGAAGGCTTGTGTCTCACCTCATTTGAGTATACAAAAAATATAATGCTAATTACCATCTCCTGGGTATTTTCTTTTGAAGAATGTCTTTTAGATACAGATGTACTCAAAACCACAAGTGTCCTGAAAAAACTGTCAGTTCATCATCAGTAGTTAGCATCCTGAGATTAATTTTTTCCTACTCAAATTTACAACAGGAATTCAATTTCCCACTTCAAGAGTTGCACTACAAATCTGTTGTCAGGGTTAAATAACACAACCATATTGTTCATGGTAGATTCTCAATTCCAGAGTTTTCAAGTTCCAATTTCCATGTTTTCAGACTGCCATGTATTATGTTTCTCCCTGGACAGGTTTACAGTCTTGCTACAGCAGTGTTGTTTTATAGCTACCAACCCGGGCTAGTATTTTCACTGGGCTAATTTTCACTGACTTGTTCAAATATCATGGTGCTGCATAAATGGTGGTTGTGATCACTCAGCCACCAAAGGTCAGACAGTTACACCCCAATTTCCCAGTAAACCTGCAAGGATGATTCTGCTTGAAAAATTCAGTAGTCCAAGCCCCAGTCTACCACAAATAAAAGCACGCTTGAGTCAACTGGAGGTTGTTTGCTTTAACAGGTCAGTAAACAAAGCCGAATGCATCAAGATATTTAATTATTTTAAATGGTATAAAGAAGGGGGGGGGGGGGAATCAATAACTTATTAGTAAAAGCTATCATGATTCCACAACCATCAAAGGTGCTCACTATGTAGCAGTGGGAATGCTTCAGAATTTTATATCCAGAGAAGATCTCTACATTTCTGTGAACATTTTCAGAAAAAAAAACATTACATTTTAACAAAAAGGGTTAACAAATTTGATTTGGAGAACAGAAGCCAATTATAAGAAAACCCAGAGGCCACCAAAAAAAAAAAAAAAAAAAACGAACTACAATCCCCTGTGTTTCTACAATATTTCTTAGTAATACCTATACAGTGATAGCACTTGATGATCACACTAGTCTGACCCCAACTGCACAAGGTATCATCTGGACATGAGTTTCCATCTTTGTTGACAGTCAGAAAGACAAGAAATAGCTGATGGGTGAAATAACAGAGAAGCCAGAGTAAGAAGCAGTGGCATAGGATTATCATTTAAAAAACAGGATGTGCCTAAGAAGAACATAAAAAACCCCAGCTCTATCAGGTCAAAGCAAAGATCCACCTTGCTTGGCATCCTGTCTCAGCATTTGCAGACCACAGTGTGCCTGAAACAGATGTGTTTGCTATACATTTAGCAACCCTTAACACATTTCTCTTCTCTGAACCTGTCCTGCCCACCCTTGAACTCACATAAACCCCTGGCATCCAAATCATCCCATGTTCCACTTCTCAACCACATGTGATTTGAAGAACCTCCTTTTGTTTGCTTTGAGCCTGGCTCCTGCCCACTTCAAGCTGTTGAAGGTTTGTTCCTTGTATCAGGATAAACATTGAAGAATCAATTCCCCACGTCACGCCATTCATGATTTTTGTTCTTCATAGTAGAATAAACACCAAAGAATCAAAACGCCAAAACCTCTGTCCTAATCTTTAGTTAGCAATGGTGATGGTAAGTTGTCATTTCTGGGCAACTGTATCAATAGGTAGTTAATATACTTTGAAAGAGATCATCTGTGAAAGGATTAAAAAAATCCCATTCTACAGACTAAATTCTGCTGGTGATACCAAGCTCATACAAGAAGCAGTGCAGAGACCCTGCATGGAGGGAGCAGCCAAACCGCTTTGCCCATCATAGACTTACAGTAATCCATGCAGTGTGTCCCCTTGCACTCCATGGTAGCAATGAGAAAATGTGGATAAAGAGCTTTTTATACCATTCCCCTCTCTTCCTTTTTCTGGCTGCCTGGGAGCCCCAAACTCACCGTGGGAGCTTCTCAGCACCAACCCCACACTCCTCTGAACGCTGAGCTGTTCTTGCCTCACCTTGAGCCCACCACCAGAGTGAGCAGCTCACAGGTGGGCCAGCTACCAGCTACCCTTAAATCATCCATGTGACATTATTTATCATGGCAACACAGCGAAGAACAGAATCAAAGTCCAAGA